CCCAATAGTGAATGCTGTGTAAATATGAGGCATCAATGGATTTCTTTAGGGAGGCCTTGAAAACGGTAATTAGAGCACTTGGCTGCTAACCAAAAGGTTAAGAGATTTGATTCTACCCAGAGGTGCCTTAAAAGACAGGCCTGGTAATCCATTTCCAAGAAATCATCAACTGAAAAGCCTATGAAACACACAATTCTACTCTGACACACACAGATTTGCCATGAGTCACAATCAACTGGATATAAATGGTCTGGTTATGAAACCCTTTCATCATATCACCTGTGAAAACCAGAGTTGACTGATTTTATGTATTGACTTTTTGTGAGTGATTAATTTGCATAGTCCTATATCTTCGGGCAGTGTCCTGTTCTGCTTTGCATAAGGTCGCTATGAGTCGGTCAGTACTGACTTGATGGCACCTAACAACAACAACAAATCTTTCTATTAACATAATCCAAAAATATATACAAGAATAGTAAGGGGAACTTAATTTCTCTTTTAATTGAATTAAAAGTTTTTGACAGCAACTCAAAATAAAAGTAGTTGCCTATCATCCAACTAATAGAGATACTCATTTTTATTTTAAAAAAAGATGGATATGAAGAACATTGTGTAGCGTTTGTGTCATATCCAAGCTCTAAAGTAATTTTCTTATTCTCTGGGATAGGGGGAAGAAAAGGGAGGAGACTGGCAAGGGAGGAAAACATGGAAAGAACACAAAAATGCTGTTTTGTTAATATCTGTTAACACCTGGAGGTAAATGAAAACACTACAACTTTTAAAGCCAAAGGTAGAACAGAAGCACATCACCTAGAGATAGAGATACAGCTTCAAACAATGCCTCTAGAGAGATGATTATTCAGCTCATTTAGAATTCTGTACAAACTCTGGCTTGCTTATTCCATTTATTAAATAACACAGATGTTTGAGAAAGCAAAAAAAGTATCTGACACTTCTTCTTGGGTATGACTAATGGCCCATTATGACAGCAATTAAAGAGTAACAACTTGTAGCCAGTATCAACTAACTGACAATGCTATAGTGAATTTCTCAGGTTTTCTGTTAATTACATAAAATTTAAGTCTCCAATGAATTTCAATTAAACCAAAGTAGGACATCAAATGGAAGGAAAAGCTGGTGAAGAATGACTTGCTAAAAAATGCATACTGGCTGAACATATAATGCTTTATGGCCAAGCTTTAATATTTCCTGTTGGACTCTGACTGATTTATCAAAGCTTCTTGGCAGACTCACAAGGTTTTAAAATCATTTTCATATCAACATAACCAACCAAAGAAGTTAGAAAGCAACAAAAAAAGTCTGATGTGCATAACTAAATGAGAAGGACAGCAGGATTTCAACTCATGTAATCATTAATATCATGCTCTTTAATAAAACTTTACATTTCTTTAGATTAAAGGCTGTGTCTCAGTATTCTTCAGAGCTTCAGACATTAGTGCAGAATCTGAGACACAGCAGCCACTCAAGAAATGTTTGCTGAACAAATGTATGAATGAATGGATTCAATATATTGAAGAACGAAGGATAAAGCCATCATGTTTGTTCCTGCCAAACTAGTTAAAGGAGGCAATGTGCAATTATTCTTATGCATACTTGATAAGAAAACAAATAAAAATACAAAATAAAAACAAAAACACTGGAATTAAAGCCAAAAAGCATGGTATCTAGTCCTGCTTTTATATGTGTGTATGTGTGGAGGGGCGGTGGGGGGGTGGGGTGTTAGGCAGGAGAGGGTCTTAAAAGATTTTTAAGCATTCAGCTGATAACAAAAAGGTTACTGATGATTTGAACTCACACAGTGGTACCTGTGGCACGTAACAACAAAAACAACAGTGGTACCAGTATGCTGTGGCATTGTTGGATAAGCACTAGACAGTTAACCACAAAGTTAGTGGTTCAAAACCACCATCCACTACTTGGAGATCTTATACAAGGTCACTATGAGTTGAAACTGACTAGACAGCATTAAGAGCAACAAGGAGTGGTACCATGAAAGAAAAGAGAGGCAATCTACATCTGTAAAGATTATAGTAAAGCACCCTATGAGTAAGAATGGACTAAATGGCACTAGGTAACAAAACCCATGGCTTAAGCACAACTAACACAGCTATGAATTTCAGTATGCCCTGGGTTTTTTAGAATAAAGAGGCTGGATCAGATATAAGAAGTCCTCACGTATTATAACTAATCCATTCCCCAAAATTGTGCCAGTTTTGAACAATTAAAAGATTAAAAACAGAGTCATATATTACTATGGATATCAAATTCTCACATTTCATACTGTATCATCAAGGTTAGATACCACGTCTGACAATCCATTCCAGAACTAACTATGGGGTTCTATAGTTTTATTTTATTCCTTCATATATTCACTGATTCACTATCAATTAGGGTAAGTCTAGTGGTGCTGTGGGTTAATGCACCAGACTGCAAAGCCGTTTGAACTACAAGGTCGGTGGTTCCAGCTCACCAGTCACTCCTTGGAAACCCTATACAGGGTCGCTATGGGTCAGAACCGACTCGACGGATCTTAACAGCAACAACAATAGTGAGCACCTAACTTAGGCTACTGATGTCAGGCTTTTAGCCTATCTCATATTTTGTCAGGAGTCCTGGTGTGATGCTTTGTTAACATCTTTTTTTGTTTTTTGAAAACTGAAGTAAGTTCTTTCCAGTTAGTTTGTCACTAAGTCAGTCTGTCACTGATCTATTTGAATCACCCTTACAAAAGCCATTGTCTTCCACGAAAACAAAATACAACATTGCTGCTGATTCCAACTCAAAGCAACCTTACAGGGCAGAGTAGAATGGCCACAGGGCAGATGGAAGGCTGTAATCTTTATGGAAGCTGGCTGCCACAGACTAGCTAGTGGGTTCAAACCACAGATCTTAGTTAGTCCAGCAAACTTAGCAGTGGATTATAAAATCACTCCTTTGGATAAATTTAGATATGCTAGTGGAAGTGAGGAGCAGCTCTAGTAATGCAGTGGTTTACTGCTTGGCTGCTGTGAGTAAGTAATACCTATATGCTAAGAATGACTACTGCTAATACCATACTGACCACCCTTCTTCCTCCAGCTTCTCCCTATATCATACTCTTCTAGCTTTCAATCCCAAAATTCTACTGCAAAGTTATAGACACCATGAACAGGCAAACGGGAAATGAGGACATGAATAGCAATGAATATCTAAAGAAAAACTTAAACCAAACTCTAATCTGCAGAGGAGAAATGATTTAGGAAGGTTGAACCATTTTGATTAAGACAGCAAAGATGTTTGAGAATTCAGAAAGGACTCTTAAAACTTTAATGTATTCTACTTCCTCGTTTTTTTATTTTTATTTTTAATTCATTTAAAAATCTTCTAAAAGGAAGGCCTGTTTTCATAAGGCAACAAAAATGTGCAAACTACTATATTTCATTTCCACATAGGCCTGGACAACCTTTTAAGACTCTCATTCCCATTTCAAAGCCCTCTAAACCAGGGGTGGGAAAGGTCTGGCCCTCAGGTCATATGTTGTTTTTGTTGTTAAATGCTGTCTAGCTGGTTCCGACTCAGAGTGACGGTGTACAGGGTTTCTGAGGAACAGATGGTGAGCTTGAACCAACAACCTTACAGTTCAAACCAACCTTGCAGTCTAGCACATTAACCCACAGTGCTACACCAGGATTCCACGCAGGCCGTAGAAGACCTTTGGAATTACTTGGTTTGGCTCTGCCAAGGTAACCACAGTCCCAGTTATCACAATGTTGCTGTTGTGAAATGCTGTCCAATCAGTGTTGACTCATAGTAACCCTGCATAGAGTTTCTGAGGAGAGGCTGGTGAGGCTTGAACTGCCAACCTTGCCGTTCAAACTGACATTGTGGTCCAGTACACTATCCTGCAGCACCACACAGGACTCTATCACCCTTAATGTGATAGAGTTCTGGTGTGGTGCTGCAGGATAATTAAAGGTTTGACCAAATAGAGCAGGCTAATTTTTAAGTTGATAATTTTGTATGACCCACAAACGATGTTACATATTTTGGCCGAAAAAACTGTTCCCTGCTCTAAACCCATTCTTCCTCAGACACTGCAGTGGTTCAGAAGTAGAGAGAAGATAAGGACATAGAAGGCTCAAGAATGGATAGGAATGCCAAGTGCATAACCACAATTTATTTTAAAGGCTGAAACTTCTAATTATTAGATTCCTAAGCTCCATCAACATGTTTCTAGCTTCAATATGACTATGCCAACAATGTTGGGTAAAAACACCAAATACTCAAAACTGCAAATCTGTCTAAAGATCCACTTTGAAATATCTACTCTTTACTACAGATAAAGAAATAGGGGAAAGTCCTCAGGAAATCAGTTATCCTCAAGGTCTTATTATAAAATATTAACTCATTTTATAATTATTGAATATCTGCCTGCAGATGGAAGGTAGTTGGCCTTAGATCCTACTTCTATAAATTTAAAGATGTACTGCTTGTTTCTTAGGGAACTATAACTATTTTAGATACTTTTTCAGCCTGATTCTCTTATTTTAACTCTATAGAACAATCAGAGACAGAGGCACACAGCCTGAAGGGAAATGGCAGCTAGTTGGAGCCATTATATAGGATTTATTTACTTGGCTTTACATTTCCTCAGAATCTAACCTACTATAAAGAGAATCTGACCTACAACAAACCATATAAATAAAGTTGGTTGTTTCTATAACAATATGCTGAAATCAACACTGCTATAAAAGTAAAAGTACTTATGGCTAATATCATAAAATTAAGTTAAACACACAAGTGAAACACAATACAAAACACAGTAAACAAATCAAAGTACATAAATAAAAGAAAGAACTGCACTTATGATTGTAAACAAATATTTCAAATAAAGAGCTTATCAGTATTACCTCAACATTATGAAGAGGAGACTTGAAAGGAGAAAAGGAATAGAGAATAGACAGACAATATCCACATGGCTGATTAAGTCACAACTTTACCTGCCATGCTGTAAGGCAAGAGGTGCACATCAAATGCCCACAAGGCTCAATCTTGACATCTTTGTCGTTCTCTGCACAAATTTTACAGAGTTGAAAAGTTGAGCCCATTTCACAATATAATTCATATTGCTCCTGGAATTTGAAATAAAATAAAAAGTAATATTAATGTACTTATATATTTCCAACATGGTCAATTAATACTGAATTTTCTCAAATGCAATGATTTATAACAAATATATTACACTTAATCTTGTCAAGATTATTTCACCATTCAACATTTGTTTTAAATTGATAATTACGATTTGGTCTATAAAAATCAGATTTTAAAAAGGTTTTTGCTTTTATTAGAAATTCTGTAAGGTTCTATAATACTTTATGGGAGTGATTATGTTCTCAGCTGCTAACTAAAGATTAGTTAGTTCAAATCCATTAGCTACTCCATGAGAAAAAAAAGTGACAGTCTGCTTCTGAAAAGATTTACAGGCTTGGGAACCCTATGGACAGTTCTACTCTGTCCTGCAGGATTGTTAGGAGTTAGACATTACTAGATTGGGGTTTCCTATGCTTCAGATTATTTAATGCTTTGTACTATTCCTTTAGAAAGGGAACTATTTCTAACACAGTTATTCAAAAGACAAAACCCATTATTTTAAACAACAATAAAAATGACTTCAATTACTTTGCAAAGGCTATATGGCTCACCCAATTTTACTGTCAAAGTATATAAAAAATAAATTATGATTTTGATTAAACATAAAATCAAAGTTGCAATTTATATTTAGAAATTCTAAAATGTAAGAAAAGCAATGTTTAACAAGCATTTCATGTGTACCAGGTATGAAATGCACACTTATTATTTAAATAACTCCCAAAGCACAGAAGATACATTAAATTAAAAATAAACAGAGTCTCAGTAAATTTTCATAGTTTTCCCCAGATTCCCAACTAGGTCTCTGGCTCTAAAATGCATACTCTTCTCCATACTAGTTAAATATCCATTAAGTGTTTCAGTAAGATTGTTGAATTCTCTTGATTCACCAAGATTATTAGCTTAAAATACTTAGGAGTAGTAAAAATCTCCGTGTTGAATTATTGAAAAGATCGATGCTACAAAGAAGATACAAATAGATTGGCAAATGTGAAGACAGTATGAAAAGTATTGATCAATAGTAATAGAAAGAAAAGGAATTTTTAAGTCAAAATTATTGGAAATAAAGCAAGTAACTATAATATACCTATCACTGGGTAGGATAAACAAATGAAAAGGTTTTGTTCCTAAGCTAACTAAAAATAACTTAAGTTTCTGGTTGGGGGGTGGCTACAGGAAAAGTATATGTACATATACCTACTAATTGATAATCTTATTATAGGACATTATACATTTAAGACAATAGTAAAAAATCTACTGTGGAACCACTTTGCAAATTAATGAGGTTTAGGCAAGACGGTAATGATTGTAGAGCATCCTCTAGCTCAAAGATGGTCTCTAGGTGGCCTCTGGGAAGTTGAGCCATGCTGCCCCACACTCTCCACTCCTTCCTGCTGGCAGGAGCAGCCAGAGAAGAGGCAGCAAAAAACAATGCCTTTGATCTGCCCTGCTCCTGGCTAGTCTTTGTGAGCCTTTGGTAACAACCTCCACTCTTCCACCCTCTCAGTGCTACTAACATTCCTATGGGCTAGAACCCGCAGAGCAAAGAGGTGGGGGACCTTCACGCCTCGGGAATAGGGTTGCCAAGACGGTGCCTTGTCTGGATAAATGTACTTGGGCCTCTGAGAAGCAGAGCGCCCCTGGTTCCTAAGAAGATGTTTTAAAAATTAAATATTAAGAATAAATAAATAGCTCCCAAATGACATGAGTCAAGGAATAAAAACTCCTTTACAATCTAGTCCAAAGACCCACCCCTTCCAGGGAAAGATCCAGAAATCTCCAGTGTGTGGGGCTAGGGGTTAGTCTGTGGGCATCAGCACTGGGTCAGGCCTTCTCTGTGGCCATGACCTCCAGGAGGGCAAACAGACAGCAAGTGTGTTTTGGGTTCCCAGCTCCTGAGGCCCTGCAACTAAAAATTGCTATGGAATAGGTAAAGAGGAAAAAAAAGGACTCTGTAGAGGGTATTTGAAAAAAATGTGAATGAGTTTAATGACGTCCCAAAGTGAGCTGAACTGCATCGGAAGCCTCCACCTTGCTTGGGGTAGGTTATGCAGACAAATTAAAATGACCAGTGCCCTTGAATCCGTAAGTCTGGGTGATTCGCCAGGTATGTAGGGCAAAGCAGGTTCTGGGATCATGATCGAGGGGCCTGCAGAGGTGGAGTTCTAAAAGTGACTCTAAGAAGGAAGCTCTGACGCAGCACGGGGGGGCAAAGTAAGATGGTTAAGCCACTAGCTCTCCAGTTACACAACCCAGGTTTATCCAGCTTAGTCTCCTCCAAGTTCTGTAGAGGCAGAAGAACAATCTATAACTGGATTCATCATAGTAATGAACACATCAGTAAATCTTGTTGTTGTTGTTGTTAGGTGCCATCTCATAGCAGTTGTAACTCATGGCAACCCAATACACAACAGAATGAAACATTGCCCATTCCTGCTCCATGTTCACAACCGTTGCCATGTTTGAGCCATCTGTTGCTGCCACTGTGTCAATCCATCTTGTTGGGGGTCTTGCTCTTTTTCACTGACCCTCCACTTTACCAAGTATGAGGTCCTCTACAGTGATTGGTCGTTTCTGATAATACATCCTAAGTACGAGAGAAAACATATTCTCTAATGCGCATTCTGGCTGTACTTCTTCCAACATAAATTTTTTTTTTTTTCTGAAAGTCTATGCTATTTTTAATATTCTTCTTCAACACCATAATTCAAATTCATTGATTCTTCTATGATCTTCCTTATTCACTATCTAATTTGCACAAGCATTTGAGGTGATTAAAAATAACATGGCTTGGGTAAGCCATGGGTAAGCGCACCTTAGAGCTCAAACTGATATTTTTGATTTTTAATACTTTCAAGAGGTTTTTGTAGCAGATTCGCCTAATGCAATACATTCTTCGGTTTCTTAACTGTAGCTTCCATGAGAGTTGATTGTGGATCCAAGCAAAATGACACCTCTGACAACTTCAATCTTTTCTCCATTTTTAATGATGTTATTTATTGGTCCAGTTGTGAAGATTTTTGTTGTCTTTACATTGAGGTGCAATCCATGCTGACAGCTGCAGTCTTTGATCTTCTTCAGTATTTTAAGTCTTCTTCACTTCCAGTAAGCAAGGCTGTATCATTTGCAAATTGAAAGTTGCTAATAAGTCTTCTTCCAATCCTGATGCTACAGGCTTCTTCATATAATCCAGCTTCTTGAGCATACAGATTGAATAAATATGGTGAAAGGATACAACTCATGTGCACACCTTTGCTAATTTTAAACCACTCAGTATTTCCTTGTTCTGCTTTAAAAACAGTCTCTTGGTCTACGCACAGGTTCCTCAAAAGCACAATTAAGTACATATTTTTGTTGTTGTTAAGTGCCATCACATTGGTTCTGACCCATAGCAACCCAGTATAGGGTTTCCGAGGAGTAGCTGGTGAGCGTGAACCACTGACCTTGAAGTTCAAATGGCTTTGCAGTCTGACACATTAACCCACAGCACCACACCAGGACTCCACATATTAGCTATTATTATTTCTATGATTATATTTGTTGTTGTTTTTAAGTGCTGTTGTGTCAATTCTGACTGATAGTGACCCTGTATGGTGTATCAGAAAGATGTTTACCTGTGGTTTATTGACTACGAAAAGGCTTTCGATTGTGTAGATCATGACAAGCTATGGACAACATCAAGAAGTATGAGTATTCCAGAACACTTAATTGTACTGCTGAGGAATCTGTACCTGGACCAAGAAGCAGTTGTTCGAACAGAGCATGGGAACACTGAATGTTTTAAAATTGGGAAAGGTGTGCGACAAGGTTGTGTTCTTTCACCATACTTATTCAACCTGTATGCTGAGCAAATAATACGAGAAGCTGGGTTCTATATAGAAAAATGTGGTGTCAGGATTGGAGGAAGACTCATTAACAACCTGCAATATGCAGAGGATACAACCTTGCTTGCTGAAAGTGAAGAGGACTTGAAATATTTACTGATGAAGATCAAAGAACACAGCCTTCCGTATGGGTTGCATCTCAATGTCAGAAAAACAAAAATCCTCACCACTAGACCAATAAACAACATTCTTATCAAGGGAGAAAAGATTAAAGTTGTCAAGGACTTCATTCTTCTTGGATCAACTATCAACACTCACGGAAGCAGCAGTCAAGAGATCAGACGACATATTGCACTGGGCAAATCGGCTGCACAGGAACTTTTTAAAGTGTTGAAGAGCAGAGATGTCAGCTTGAGGACTAAGGTGTGCCTGACCCAAGCCATGGTATTTTCAATAACCTCATATGGATGCGAAAGCTGGACAGTGCATAAGGAAGACCGTAGAAAAATTGAAGCCTTTGAGTTGTGGTGTTGGAGGAGAATACTAAAAGTGCCATGGACTGCCAAAAGAACCAATAGATCTATTTTGGAAGAAGTGCAGCCAGAGTGCTCCTTGGAGGCCAGGCTGGCTAAGCTTCGTCTCTCATACTTGGGACATATTGTCAGGAGAGAACAGTCGCTAGAGAAGGATGTCATACTGGGTAAGATGGAGGGGTCAGAGAAAAAGAGGAAGACCCCCAACGAGATGGATTAGCCAGGTGGCATCATTGATGGTGTCAAGTGTGGCAGCGGTGGTGGGGTTGGCCCAGGATTGGACATTGTTTCATTCTGCTGTGCATGGGGTCGTTATGAGTCGGTTCCGACTCAATGGCACCTGACGACAACAACATGGTGTTTCCAAGGAGCGACTGGTGATTTTGAACCACTAACCTTGTGGTTAGCAAGCCAGGGCTTATTCTATAGCACCACACCAGAACTACATCTACTACAGAAAAATAATTAGATAAATTGATAGTTTGAAACGGGGGGGGAAAAATCCTCCAATTTTGCACAACAACCTGTTCTTTGAAACCTAACTAGGTTTCTAAGTGAGGAATAGGTGTATATACACACAGACACACATACTAGATAAGTCCATCATGATGTGCATATATGCATGTATGTATGTACAGGAAAGACTTTTTAATGAAATTAATAAGAAAAAACGCAAGAAAGAATGGATCTAAATAGAAAAAAATTAATCTGAAATAGATTATAAATCATTGTATTCCATGAAAAAAAATAATGGTTATATGTACCCATAGAGTTAATGTACAATTATTTTAAAGTCACAGTAAACTAACATCACAAATGCAGAACTCAATACAACCTAAGGAATAAGCCAGATGATTATGTATAGTGAATTATATAGTTAAACATTTGTTGTTGTTTTTTTTAACAGTGGTATAAAGAGAAATTACCTCTCATAGGTTTCCTTTTACACATATCAGAAAACTGTGATTCACTATATGATTGTTTTAATCGCAAATCCAGAGGAGCTGCTAACCTTGTGGTTAGTAGTCCAGTGCTTATTCTACAGAGCCAACTTCCCCATTTCATGGCTATTAAGACTAAAATCTAGAGAATTAGAAATTATCTATTATTTTTCAAAACACTTATTATTTCTACATTTCCCTTAGATTTATTATTTTTAATACTAGTGTTGTTAAGTGTTCTCTAATTGGTTCCGACTCACAACAACCCTACACAGGGTTTCCAAAGCTATATATCCTTAAGGGAGCAGAAAGCTTCATCTTTCTTCCAGAGTCACTAGTCAGCTCAAACCACCAACCTTGGGACTCCTTGTGAATCCTTTAAACTATAAAGGATTTTAAAATTAGATAGCATGTAAAATGAAGTATTAAAGGTTTCCCTTCCTTCTCTCGCTACTATAATTCTCCAGAGTTAAAAACGTTCCTAGTTTTATTATTTTTTTTTTAATGATTGTATACAGTCTAGGAGCAGAGGTCCCTGGGACCATCAAGGGAGAAGAGTGGAGAGTGCGACGCTACCCAGAGAAGCAGTAATGACTGAGATGGAGGCAGAGATGATGAGTGGAGAGATGAAGCAGGTGGGGACTTTAGACACAGAGAGGGAGAAGGGCTGTGTGCTGATGACTGGGGGTGGCAGGCTTGTAGGGTATACTCTTTGGTTGGTTGATGATGCATGCAGGCGACTGTAACCATGGCAATGAAATGATATACGATAGGATGAATGTAAAACTAATGTTCTCCCATGTAAACTATCACATAATTCACAACATTAAAAAAAAAAAAAAAAAAAGCATGTATATGTTCAAATTCATGCATATGTTCATATATGAGCCCTGGTGTGGCACTGTAGGATAGGTCCTGGCTTCTAGTAACAAGTTCAGTAGTTGAAAACCACCAGTTGTTCTTGGGAACCCTGTATAGTGTCATTATAAGTCCGAACTAACTTGATGGCACACACCAATGCAAGAATAGCATGCTCATGTATAGATGGTTTCTTATAAATATACATATTTTTACATAATGGAAATTTTACAAAAAGGAATTATATTTAATAGAGTTTTATATTAATTGAACTTGTTTAAAAATGCAGAACTTGTCATGTATATAGAGAGCAACCTCATTCCTTTGAATATTTTCATAATATAAAATAGTATGAGTATATTGCTGCAGTTATTGTTATGTGCTGTGGAGTCATAGTTCTGACTCATAGAGACCCTGTACAGGGTTTTCCGAGGCTGTAAATCTTTATGGGAGCAGAAAGCTTCACCTTTCTACCTTGGAACAGTTGGTAGTTTCTAACTGCTGACTTTGAGGTTTGCAGCCCGATTTGTAACCACTACGCTATACTACTTTAAGGAGCTCTGGAAACATAGTGGTTACAAATTGTGCTACTAACCTCAAGGTAGGCCCTTTAAAACTACCAGCGGTTCCGCGGGAGAAAGAGGAGGCATTCTGCTCCCGTAAAGATTTACAGCCTTAGAAACCCTGTGCAGGGTCGCTATGAATCGGAACCGACTTCACGGCACACAACAACGCTATCAGAGCTCCTTCAGTATGAGTATACTATGGTTAATTTAACTTACTATTGAACATTTTGGTATTGTGCAATGTTTCATCATGAAAAACACCTATAGTAAATACATTAGTACACAGATCTTTGTCAATATATGGAATGAATATTGAATCAACTGAAAAACTCATTAAGGATTTTAAAAATTAGTAACATACTGACATCAAGAAAGACTTTACCAAGTTATGTCCCCACTCATGACGTTGACAACAATGGACTTAATTTTAAAAAATTATTATTACCTTTAATAAACTTCAGTTACCTATTTGACTCTTTCAAAAACTGTTATATAAAGTTACTGTAACCTGTTTCAGTAGTTTTCTTAATGTAAGGCTCTCTGCTCCTCTATCTACCTAACTCTCCCATTTAAATGTCATAATTATTTTAAATTCAAGACTAATAGCACTTTGTTCCAATAATTGGAGAAAATAATGCAATCTCTTTTCAACAACTCTTATACTTCTGAAATATATTTTACATTAAATATCTGTGCATAGTTTTAACCATAGTATGTGCTGTTGTTGTTGTTAAATACCATCAAGTCAGTTCTGACTACACCAGGACTCTACACTATAGGTGTTGCTGTTAATTGCTGTTGAGTTGGTTCTTACTCACAGGAACCTTGTATAGGACTTCCAAGGAGTAGCTGGGGAGTTTGAAGTGCCAACCTTGCAGTTCAAACCAACCTTGTCTAGTGCTTATGTTATAGTGCCATACCAAAACTAAGAATTGTTCATTTATTTTGAAAGTATTATACATAATTATTTATCATAAGTACTTTTCCAGAAATTACGCTTACCTGTGTAACTTTTATATGATCATGTGGTGTGGGCTCACATAATCCAGTTAAATCAGGATTATAACTCCTTCCATCAGGATAAAGATAGCTGGATTTTGAAACAAACATTATTACACCATTTAAGGTTATGTAATTTCATTTCTAAGAAATATTTTCATGTTTACTTTTCATGCCAGTTATATCTAAAATCTCTTTTCTATCCATTCCCATAACATCACAAGTCATATGTTAATATTTAGAGTCTAGAAATCAATTTTCCTATGAAAAAACACTTGATGAATATATTCTGTATTCTAATACATCATGTATTTAATACATCGTATCTAAGAAACAATTTTCAATTAAGTGCTATTAATATGTGTTCTAAATTATCTAACTTGAAATTATTTCAGTAGTCATTTAGGTACTATTTCACAATACTTGGGATATACACATATTTGCAATTATTATATGTTTCACCTAAAGAATGGTTATAGTTAACTGAATCAATTTATACCACCATTATTACAACATGCAAAGAAAACAGAACTAAAATCACAAATAACAAATTATCATATCATGTTTCATTGATTTCAAATCAAGTTAAAAGAGTGGTATATAAATGCAGGATTCGTTATATAAGAGAACGGAAATTTGAAATATAACTTGTAGCAATAATACTATCGTGTTGTAGCAAAAACCAGTTTCACCATTTATTCAGATATTATCTTCAAAATTGACAACCAAGATGTCACTAATTACCTACTTTAAATAAAAAATGAATGGCAAGGTTAATGCCAGATTTTTTCCAAATCATTAAATTTGGGTTACTTTTAAAAATAATTTTCTATGGCATACGTGGAAAAATTAAGGCTATAGTAATAGAAAAGATATTTTCAAAGACAAAAGTAATTAATTATTACTCCAAGAAATAGCAAAAATATTTATATTTCCTTAAATGAAGTGTCTACAAACACTTAAGTAAACTTAAAGGAAGCAAATCTTAGAAATTACGAAGGAAACCTAGAAAAATGAATTTAGAGAACAGATAATTCTGAAATGATAATGAGATCATCTTTTCTGTTTGTATTTTTTTCTTTTTTAGACTTAGAAAAGATGTTTACTACATCTAATACAAAACATTTTCAATGTGTCATTATGGTTAGGGTTTATAAAATTCTAAACATACTATTGTTGTTGTTGTTGTTAAGTGCCGTTGAGTCGGTTCCGACCCATAGCGACCCTGTACAGGGTTTCCGAGGGTGTTACAAGTAACCAAAAGGTATTCAGAAACTTTTGTTCCATATCCTAAAATGATCACTATAAAATATATGAAATAATAATATAAATTTCTCTATTTAAATATATATGACATACATATTTTAAAATATATATGACATATATATTTAAAGAGAGATTTTATCATACTTCAAAATATGTGTTTAGCCTATACAAAGACAATCCCACTATTGTTATGTGCTGTGGAGTTGGTTCCGACTCATAGTGACCCTGTACAGGGTTTCTGAGGTTGTCAATCTTTACCAGAGCAGAAAGCCTCATCTTTCTCCTACGGAACAACTGGTAGTTTCGAACTGCTGACCATGAGATTAGCAGCCTGATTCATAACCACTACGCTATGATGCTCACCTTTCAATGACAATGCAGGGTATAAAGGTATTGACTGGTTACCAAAATAAATTTTAACACTCATATCATTAAATCATGGATTAACTAAAGGAAAGATGGCCCAGATGGTAGCTTCTCCACAAGAGAAAAGTGTTACAGTCTGTTTTTGAAAAGATTTTCAACCTCCGAAATCCTATGGGGCAGTTCTACTCTGTCCTATAGGGCTATTGTTGTTGTTAGGTACAATCGAGTCAGTACTGACTCACACCAACCCTATACACAACAGAATGAAACACTGCCTAGTCCTGGGCTAACATCACAATTGTTGCCATGCTTGAGAGCAATGATGCTGTCATATTGCCAATCCATCTTGCTGGGGGTCTTCCTCTTTTTCTCTGACCATCCACCTTGCCAAACATGATATCCCTCTCTAGTGATTGGTCCCTCCTGACAAGATGTCTGAAGCATGAAGAGATGAAGTCTGGCCATCCTGGCCTCCAAGGAGCACTCTGGCTGGACTTCTTCCAACACAGACCTATTTGTTCTTTTGACAGCCCTGCTACTTTCAATATTCTCAAACACCATAACTCAAATGCATTAATTCTTCCACGATCTTCCTTATTCACTGTCCAGCTTTCAAATGCATGTGAAGTTATTGAAAAAATCATGGCTTGGGTCTGGCACACCTTAGTCCTCAAGTTGACATCTTTGCTCTTCAACATTTTAAAAAGGTCTTTTGCAGCAGATTTGCCAAACGCAATACGTTGTTTTTTATTTCTTGACTGCTGCTTCCATGAGTGTTCCATGGCTGATCCAAGAATAAAATCCTTGACAATTTCAATATTTTCTCTATTTATACGAATGTGGTTTATTGTTCCAGTGGTAAGGATTTTTGCTTCTTTATACTGAGATGGAATCCATACCGAAGGCTGTGGTCTTTGATATTCATCAGTAAGTATTTTAAATCCTCTTCACTTTCAGCATGTATGGTTTTATTATCTGCATATAGAAGGTTGTTCATAAGTCTTCCTCCAATCCTGATGCCATGTTTTTCTTCATATATTCTAGCTTCTCGGATTATTTGCTCAGCATACAGATAGAGTAAATATGATGAAAAAATACAACCCTATCACACACCTTTCTTAATTTTAAACCAGTGTTCCCATGTTGTGTTTGAACAATTGCCTTTTGGTCTACGTACGGGTTCCTCATGAGCACAATTAAGTGTTCTGGAATAATCATACTTCGCAATGTTGTCATGATCCACATAATGAAGGTCTTTGCGTAGTCAATAAAGCACAGGTAAACATCTTTCTGATATTCTCTTCTTTCAGCCAAGATCCATCTAATGTCAGCAATGATGTTCCTCATCACATATCCTCTTCTGTATCCACTTTGAACCTCTGGAAGTTCTCTGTCAATGTATGCTTGCAGGTGTTTCTGTATTACCTTTAGTAAAACTTTACTTGCATGGGATATCAAAGAGACTGTCCGATAATTTCCTCATTATATTTGGTCACCTCTTTGGAATGGGCACAAAACTGACCTCTTCCAATCAGTCGGCCAGAAACTTGTCTTCCAAATTTCTTGGCACAGATGACGGAGTAGCTCCAGTGCCTCCTCACTTTTTTGAAAGATTTCCATTTTTATTCCATCAATTCCCAATGTCTTGTTCTTTGCCAATTCCTTCAATGCCCTTTGGACTTCTTCCTTCAGTCTCATTGGTTCTTGATCATATGCTACCTCTTGAAACGGTTGAACACTGACCATTTCTTTTTGGTACAGTGATTCTGTGTATTCCTTCCATCTTCTTTTAATCATTCAATAATTTACCCAGACAATCCTTCAATAACAAAAGTTGAGGCTTGAATTTTTTCTTTGGTTCCCTCATCTTGAGAAAAGTTGAACGTATTGTTCCCTTTTGGTTTTCTTACTCCACATCTCTGTACATTTCATTGTAATATCTGACTTTGTCTTCTCGAGCTGACATTTGATATTTTCTGTTCAGCTCCTAGACCGCCTCATTTCTTCCATTTGCTTTAGCATCTCTACGCTGGAGAGGAAGTTTCAGAGTCTCTTCTGACATCCATTTTAATCTTTTCCGTCTTTGTTGTCTTCTTAATGCTTTTTTGCTTTCTTCCTTTATGATGTTCTTGATGTCATCCTATAACTTATCTGGTCTTCAATATTTAGTGTCTAATGTATCAAATCTGTTCTTCAGATGATCTGTAAATTCAGGTGGGATATATTCACGGTCATATTTTGACTCTTGTGGACTTAATTTTATTTTGTTCAGCTTCAGTCTGAATGTGCATATGAGCAATTGATGGTCTGTTCCACAGTCTGCCCCGGGCCTTGTTTAGGCAGATGATAAGGAGTTTTTCCACCTTCTATTTCCACAGATATAGTCAATCTGATTTCTGTGTATTCCATCTGGTGAGATGCATGTGCATAGTCATCTCTTATGCTGTTTAAAAGAGGTATTTGAAATACACAGATCATTGGTTTTGTAGAATACTATCATGTGATCACCAGCATCATTTCTATCACCAAGGCCATCCTGATCCTTCCTCTTTGTTTCCAACCTTTGCATTCCAATCACCAGTGATTATCAATATACCTTGATTGCATGTTTGATCAATATCAGATTGAAGAAGTTGGTACAATTCTTCCATTTCATCCTCACTGGCTTTAGTGGTTGGAAATTTGAATAATAGTGGTATTATATGGTCTTCCCTGTGGAAGCATGGATATTATCCTATCACAGACAGCATTGTACCTCAGGACAGATCTTGTTATGTTCTTTTTGAACATGATTGGAACACCATTCCTCTTCAGTTGGGCATTCATAGGGCTATTAATAGGAACTAAATCAATGGCAATGGTTTTAGTTTAGTTTTTGTTTTTCATTACAGGTGTACCAACTGATACAGTATTGTTCCTGATCTTAAGAAAATCAATTAACACAATAAAATCTATTTCAAAAAGATCTAACACAGTTTAAATTCAACAGCCAATAGTCTTTAAAGATGCATATGTCTGTAAGCATTAATATCTAATTTACAAAGGAGTTCACAGACTAGGCTATACTGATTAAAACATAATGTTTTATTCCTTTAGTGACACTGAAAAATAATTTAATGGTATTATTAAAAATATGCTATTTTTGTTGTTAGGTGACATTGAGTTGGTACCATATCATAGCATCCTTATGCACACAGAATGAAGCACTGCCCAATCCTGCACCAACCTTATAATTGTTGCAACTCTTTAGCTTATTGCTATTGTCACTGTGCTAATCAAACTTTGGGAACTTCCTCTTTTTCACTGAACCTCCACTTTACCAAGTATGATGTCCTTCAGCGGGACTGACCCGTCCTGATAATATGTCTGAAAGATGAGAGGCGAAAACTTGCCATCCCAGCTTCTAAGGAGAATTCTGGCTTTACTTTTCCATCACAGACTTTTTGGGTCTCCCGGCAGTCAATGGTACCCCTAATATTCTACTTGAACAACATAACTCAAAGGCATCAATTCCTTTAAGCTCTTCCTTATTCACTGTCCAACTTTCACATGCATAAGAGGTTACTGAAAATACCATGGTTGGTCAATTGCACTTTAGTCCTCAAATTGACATCTTCGCTCTTGAACACTTCAAAGAGGTGTTGTGCAATCTGTCTGGGTGGGGCTGATGAAAGGAGATGGGGATAGGTCTATTGTGGTACAATAGTGAATATTTGTTAACAGGACTGACTGTGAGGGTTGGAAATGTAAAGGTAGACATTTTGTATCAAAAGGAGGGGAGTGATTGACTTTGCAGTTTAGGAGTGGAGGTCCCTGGGACCATCAAGGGAGAAGAGCGTAGTGCGGGACCATACCCACAGCAACAGTGACACCAGAGTTGGAGGCAGAGATGATTACTTGGAGAGATGGAGTGGCTGGGAACTCTAGACATGGAGAGGAAGAGGGGCTGTGTGCTGACAACACAGGGGGTAGGCTTGCAGGGTGTACCCTTTGTTTGACTGATGATGCATGGAGGGGATTGTAACTATGGCAATGAAACAATATACGACAGGATGAATGTACAGCTAATGTTCTCCCATGTAAACTATCACATAGTTCACAATAAAACATTTAAAAAAAAAAAAAAAAGAGGTGTTGTGCAGTAGATTTGCAATACATCATTGATTTCTTGACTGCTGCTTCCATGAATATTGATGGTTGATCAGAGAAAAATGAAGTCTTTCACAACTTCAATTTATTCTCCATTGATAACAATATTGTTTATTGGTCCAGTGGTGAGGATTTTTATTTTGTTTACATTGAGATGCAATCCATACCCAATGCCGTGGTCTGTGATCATCATCAGTTAAGTATTTTATAATCTTAAACCATTTAGTTTCCCATTATTCTGTTCAAACGACTGCTTCTTGATCTATGTATAGGTTCCTCATGAGAGCAATTAAGTGTTCTGGAATATTCATTTTCCACAATGTTGTCCATAGCTTGTCATGACCCACATAATAAAAAGCCTTTTCCTAGTCAAGAAAGCACAGGTAAGCACCTGTGTGGTATTCTATGCTCTCAGACAAAATTCATCTTCCTTTTGTAATGATATCCCTCATTCCACATCCCTGTCTGAATATGGCCTGAACCTTGAGCAGGCTCCCTGTTGATGTATTATTGCAGCAGTTTTTGAATTTTCTTTAGCAAAATTTTACTAGCAATACAATATAAATGATATTGTCTGATGATTTTAATGATATTGTCCGATGATTTCTGTGTTCCACTGGGTCACCTTTCATGGAATGGACACAAATATGGATCTCTTCCAATCTACTGGCCAAGTCTTTTGGTATGGAAGAACCAGTGTCTCTTGTGCTGGAGACTTGTTCTTTGCCAGTGCCTTAAATGCACCTTGGACTTCTTTCTGGACTATCATTGGGTTTTGGTCATATGCTACCTCTTGAAATGTCTGAACATCAACTATTTGTTTTTTGCACAGTGACACTCTGTAGTCCTTGCATCTTTTCTGATGCTTTCTTTATCATCCAATATCTTGTCCCCCCAAAAAATCCTTCAATATTGCAAGTTGAGGCTTGAATTTATTCTTCAAATCTTTCACACTGTATCATACACTATTACTCATCTATAGATTTGTCCATTCACACACTCTATTTATGAATTAAAACCCTACAGTACATTTTCTTACAAATAAAAAACCTACAATAATGGTGAGTTTTAAACTATAGGAATCTTTGATATAATAGAAGCAAGAAATAACTCAGAACAGCAAGCAACTTTATGAAAATTTAAATAAACAAAAAGAAATACCCATCTGGTACTATAGTTTGCTATACACCTCATATTTAACTGTCACTTGTTAAAAGCCCATTGATGTTGTTACTGTTGTTGTTAAATGTCACTGAGTCGGTTGTGACTCACAGTGACCCTATTTCCAAGGAACAGCTAAGGGTTTCCAAGGAGAAGCTAGTGAGATTCAACCATCAACCTTGTAGTTCAAACTGACTTTTCAATCCAGTGCTTTATCCTACAGCACCACACAAGGACTCCCATAGGTTAAAAAAAAATTTTACATTTCTACCCATAAATTCCACCACTATTTTTTGTTTTATTTTCCAATTATTTTGGAAAAGGCAATGCTTAAATCATTTGCTCTTGTCTAACTCCAATAGACTTTTTCTTGCTAGATTTCTATCACAATCCACGCAACAGTAAGTTGGATCTCATTATGGCCTTGAGTTGTTCAATAAGGCAAAGGAAGTTAGGGTGATAACGTGACATGTAAACTCAGAGTAAGGATGGGAAAAATTGTATACTGTGAGAAGAACCAAACATATTTACCACAAATGGACCTATCATGTGGTCCTAGCTTTGCGTGTGGCAAACAAATGTCAGTATAAAATCTAGGAAACAAAGCAGGTAAACTTTATTTTTAACTTTTCAAAATGAACAGCATATAAACTCAACATTGCCACTGCTATATAAATACTGGAATTTATATTGCAATTTCTTTTTAGCGTTGATAAAAGGAAAAAGATACAAAGAAAAAGGAACAAAAGGAGTGAAGGAATAAAGGATGAAGAGAACAACAATTAGTACAATCAGTAAAAACCAAAATAAAATTAAATTTGTATGGTATACAGCAAGAGAGTCCTGGTGTGGCACAATAGGATAAGCAGTTGACCCCAAGGTCAGTTTGAACTGCAAGACTGGCAGTTCAAATTCACTAGCCACTCCTCGGCAACCCTATACATGGTCACAGTGAGTCAGTACTGAGTCAATGGCACCTAACCATAACAACAACACAGGCAAGATAAATCAAATATTTGACATAATTATCTCTTAATACATATGGGACCTTCAAAAAGTTGGCAGAAAAATGGAATTAGAAGACAATGGAGTTTTCTCATGAACTTTTTGAAGCCCTCTCATCTACCTAAGGTAAGGTAATGGTTAAGACTTGGCTATTACCCAACAAGTCAGCACTTTGAACCTGACAGCCATTCCTCTGGAGAAAAGACCTGGCCATCTACTACTATAAAGATCACAACCCTAGAGCAAACCCTAGGGGGCAATGCTACTCTGTCCTATAGAGTCACTGTGAAAAGGAATCAGCTAGACGGCACACAATAACATACATACAGTTTTAAAACTATTTTTGAACTACATTTAAGTCCCAATTTTTTTCCTACTAAAAAAAACCTGTTATAATTTGATGTTGTAACTGATTTGTTATAATACATATTACATTCAAATAATTAGGTAACTTTAAAATGCCTATTTTAAGAATGAATAATAAAAACTAAAGAGTATCCATTTCTTAGTATTGAAGTAGAAAATAAAAAACAAACAGATCATTAGTCTTACTAAACATTCTCACTACCACACAGCAGTATCGATTTTTCAAATTTGTGAGCAATAAACACCTTGATTCTCACATTTCTCATACTTACAATCCTTCTCTGCTACCATCAATCAGGGCTTGGAATAAGGGCTTATTATGAGGTATGGTCTGCAAGATGTTGCCATCCCCTGTCACATAGCCAATGGCCCACTGTCCCAATCGAGTGCAGCTTAACCGAAAAATGTAGCTGAAAAACATGAGAAAATAATGTTTAATCATATTCCAAATATATGCTAACTGCTGAACAATTTTGTCATGTTTTTTTATTAACAAAAAAGGAAAAGAAAAAAAAAATCATTAAGAAGTCCTGATATAAATGTCAATCTTTTAACTTGTTTAACACTACTGCAGTACCATTTAAAACTCTGATGGCTACTAATCAAATGGTCAGCATGCCACAGCCACGAAGAACTACACACACACACACACACACACACAATGAGTCTGGGGCTTCTGTAAAGATTACGGCCTGGGAAACCCTATCAGGCAGCTCTATTTCCTACAGAGTTTTTATTGAGTCAGTGGTGGTTATGTGCCGTGGAGTCGGTTCTGACTCACAGCGACCCTGTACAGGAGCAGAACACCTCATCTTTCTCCCGTGGGACAGCTGGTTGTTTCGAACTGCTGACCGTGAGATTAGCAGCCCGGTTCGTAACCACTATGCTACCAGAACCAATGGCAGTAGTTTTTTGGCACTTTGCTGTTGTTTAGTGATCTGAACCTACCAATAGATCAACAGGTGAAAGAGGTGGCAGTGTGTTTCTGTAAAGACATACTGTCCTACAAATCCAATGGTTCTACTCTGTCCTATATGCTCACTAAGAGCAGTAATTGACTCTATAGCAGTGGATTAGTTTCAAGTTTTAAGAATTCCATTTATGTACTTGTAAAAGAGGCATTCATGACTGTTTTATCATTTATACTACTCAAGGATAAGGGGGAAAAAAAATGAAATTGTGATCTATCCAGCGATTTATCACTATCACCACCAGGAGTACTGTGTATGAAAGTGCTAGTAGGCACAGCTCAAAATGAGGAGAAATAGCTGTAAATATTAAATAATAAATGGAACGTGGGATGATCAAAGTATGAATCTAAAAAAATGAGAAGTTATCAAAAATGAAATGGAATACATAAAGATAGATATCACAAGCATTAGTGAGCTGAAATGAACTGTTATTGGCCATTTTTAAACTGACAATTGTGACAAATTAAGAGGAATGACATCACATTCATCATCAAAAAGAACATTTCAAGATCTATCTTGGAGTATAATGTACTCTGTGATAGGATAATATGCATACACCTACAAGGAAGACCAGCTAATACTGCTGTAATTCAAATTTAAGCACTAAACACCAAAGCCAATGATAAATTTAAGAATTCTACCAATTTCTTCAGTCTGAAATTGATCAAACATGCAATCAAAATGTACTGATAATTACTGGTGATTTGGGATACAAAGGTTTCATTCATAATAGGATCAGTAGGTGGAAATTTTGGTCTTGGTATGAAATGATGTTGGAGATCACATGACAGAATTTTGTTAAGACCAATGACTTCCTCATTGTAAGTATCTTTTTTAAACAGCATAAAAGATGACTAAATACATGGACCTTACTGGGTGAAATAAGAGAAATAGAACCGGTTACATTCTGTGGGAAGAAACAGTAGAAAAGGCTCAATATCATCAGTTAAAACAAGGTGAGGACAAACAGTGTAACAAACAGTCCCCATCAGTTGCTCATATACAAGTTCAGGAGGAAGCTGAAGAAAACTAAAACAAGTTCACAAGAACTAAAATATGAGCATGAATATATCCCACCTGAATTTACAAATCGCGTCAAGAACAGATTTGACATTGGGTTAAAGTGCTGGACTACAAAGTCTGTTTGAACCTCAAGGTCGGTGGTTCAAGCTCACCAGCCACTCCTTGGAAACCTAATACAGGGTCGCTATGGGTTGGAACCAACTCGATGGCACTTAACAATAACACCAACACACTTTTTTGGTAGTGGTTATGAGCTGTGGAGTCAGTTCCGACTCATAGTGACCCTGTTATAAGGTTTCAGAGGCTATAAATCTTTACAGGTGCAGAAAGCCTTATCTTTCTCCTGTGGAATGGCTGTTATTTTCAAACTGCTTGAAGTTAACAGCCCAAATTGTAACCATTATGCTACCAGAGCTCTGTACAAATTTTTTAGTCCCCCTCATGTATCATGTCATGTTGTTACTGTTAACTGCTGTCAAATTGGTTCCAACACACAGCGACCCTTGATAGAGGTTCTGAAGAGTGGCTGGTGGGTTTGAATCGCCAATCTTTTGGTCAGCAGTCTAGTGCTTATCCTACAGTATCACAATATAGTTTGTTAAACACAACAAAGGAAAAAAGATAAAAATTTTCAGTGTACTAGAAAAAAACAAAACAAAGTAATCAACACTATTGGCTTATAAAACAAACCCCATTAACAAAAAAAAGTTATGAACAAGGTTGCTGTTGTTGTTAAGTGTTGTCAAGTCAGTTCAACCCTTTATAGCATTTCCTAGGCTGTAAATCTTTGTTAGGAGTAGAAAGTCTGTCTTTCTCCCTTAAGAAACAAGGTAGATTTTAGAAGATAAAATTCACTCCTAAAACGAATTGTCTAAAAAAATAACAGTGTACTAAATGAAGTCCTTGTACTACAGGATAAGCACTGGACCCTAAGTTTGGTTTGAAACACAAGATCAGTGGTTCAAATCCACAAATTACTCCTTGGAAACCCTATACAAGGCCAATTATGAGTTGGAACTGACTTGATGACACTTAACAATAGGCACTGGAATGGCCTCTCCTACTAAAAATGTGAACAATCAAAGATTAAGTTTCTACTATGATTACAACTATATCCAACAAACTGACTGCCACAATGCAGGTCCCATCACATAATGTGAGTACTCTGTACCTACTATATTTCTAGGTGGGATATAGGGAAAATGTACTGATCCAAGGAATCAGCATGTTCTGGTCCCAGAATTGCTACTATTGTTGTTGTTTAGTGCTGTTGAGTCAGATAAAAGTCAAATGGACCCCATACAGGGTTTTCCAAAGAATGGCTTTGAGCTGCCAATCTTGTGGCCAGCAGTCTAGTGCTTATCCTACATACAAGAACTCCTAACTGCTATTATTGTTTGTTGTTAGTGCCTTCAAGTTGGTACCCACTCATAGCGACCCTGTATAGGTTTTCTGAGGAGCAAATGGTGAGCTTGAACTGCCGACCTTGAAGTTCAAATTGACCTTGCAGTCCATCGCATTAACAAGTAGTGCCACAGCAGGACTCCTAATTTCTATTAATAAGGTACAATTTCTTGTAAAATTGTTAAAACTAGAAAGGTTAACCAGTCAATCTCTTTGAGTCTTGCTCAGTTTCATCATTTGGAAAATACATTCTAAAGCATCAAGTATTATGAACAAAAACTGCAGACAAGAAATTGGTTAGGCTTTTAACAATTAGATACATTCTATACTTAAATATGTTTATCAAAGAATCAAACTAAGTATGTCTTGAAAATACTATAAAGGATAATCATAAAACTGATTTGTTTTTAGCATCAAATTCATGTATTCAAACATATCATTATGATTTCATGTACAAACTGTGTTGCTATTATTTTTGTTGCTATTATTGCTAAGTGCCATCAAGTAGATTCTGACTCATAGTGATCCTGCATATGGTTTTGGAGGAGCAGCTGGTAGGTTTGATCTGCCAACCTTGAAGATAGCAGTTCCTACAGTCTCACACCAGGATAAATAATGGATGTCTTATAAATAGTCAATATGTTAATGACCTACTCCAACTAGAAATTCAGAATTCAGAGCTTTAGCAGTCCTTTAAATTCATCACACAAATATACCACACTCCCTTTCACTTTATGAACGATAGGCTTAGGAATAAGCACAATATATCAAAGAATCCAATTAAGGAGTAGCATTTTGGATTATTAGTATTATTTCCCCCTATGGGCTTTACTGATTTACTTAGGAATGACCACGTAGGGTTTTAATCCTTAGGTATATGGCATAATGTTCCTGCTAAAAAGTCTTACCTTCCAGGTTTAGTGCTGTATTTCTGTAGTCGTGCTTTCACTTCATCATATGTGAGAAATGCCATGTAACCTGGATGTGTTACAGCTAAGAAATTCCAATTCCGTAAAATAGAACCCCAAGGCTGAAAATATGAATAAAATGAAAATAAATTATGTGGAGAATAGCAACAATCTATACCATACCAACCCATCATTTAATAAACTTTCAAAATGTTCTTGGATACTTTTAAAGCTATGTTGTGTAGGTCAATCCTTGTCATCTAATAGCAAACACGCAGGATCTTAATCTTTTTACAGAAATATGATTAGGTAGACCACAGACTTGAGAACAGAATACAGACAGCAAAAATAAAAGGTAGAGCCTCTTCTCAACAAAGTCTCTTTTCATTATTGTGTTTGTGATCATTTTGAAATATAAATCACATACATCACTCTTCTGTGCAAAATTCTCTAACTCTGAGTAAAAGTCAAAGCATTTATAAACAACCTGGAAGGACTTTATAGGAACTGGTTCCCCAGTTTTGTTTTTGACCCTTTCTATCTACAACTCTCCCCCTTTTTGCTGCTTCTCCAGTAAAAGTGGCCTCTTTGCTGTTGGCTTGACATAAGAGTACTCCTCCATGTTTACTGATTCTCTATCTGAATTATTTTTACCCAAATATACACCTGATTCATCTCTCCAAATATCACTTCTTCAATGAACACCTTATTTAACACTGTACTTCTCATCATACTTCTTACCTCCCTCTGGGTCTATTTTTATGACTATACACTCAGAATGGAGGATAGTGCCTGAAAGTAACTGGTACTCAATAAGTATTTGTAGAATGAACCGTGAAGAAAGGAAGAAGGCAGGAATAAATAAAGGGCTGCAAGCATTTTCTGAGATACTTTGGTTAAAATCTGGCCTCTGTCAACAACTAGTTACCATAAGGTCATAGACCAGTTATTTATCCTCTAATCTTAATTTTCTTCCTGAATATGAGTTTAATAATAGTTCCCACCTCATTACATTGTTACAAGGCTTAAAATAAAATAATACAAGAAAAGCTCCTACCATAGTAAAGCATATAGCAGGATTCAGTAAACTTCATCATTATCACCATGATTATTATGATCAGGATGCTCACTTTATTTACAAGAAACCACATCACAGAACTTAAAGAGATTTGACAGAGATTAACTGTGGAGTCCTGGTATGGCGCTGTGGGTTAATGCATCGGATTGCAAAGCCGTTTGAACTGCAAGGTCGGCTGTTCAAGCTTACCAGCTGCTCCTCGGAAACCCTATCCAGGGTCGCTATGGGTCAGAACCAACTCGATGGCACTCAACAACAACACATTAACCACACGCTCCATGAGGGCAAGGAAAAGGCTTGTCTTGCTCATCAATGGGAAACTAGCATCTATGCTGGATGTGATGATGGTATGTGCCGTGGAGTCTGTTCTGACTCATAGCGACCCTGTACAGTGTTTCCGAGGATGTAAATCTTTACGGGAGCAGAAAGCTTCATCTTTCTCCCGCGGAACAGCTGGTAGTTTCGAACTGCTAACCTTGCAATTCACAGCCCGATTCGCAACCACTACGCTACCAGAACTCCTTAGCATCTATGCGTAGTATCAGATAAATAGTTATCAGGCAGCAATAATTATTGTTAAACACGTTCTCTAATTTGCCTATCTAAAAGTTTGATTCACCATTTAGTATTCTTTACATGGTAACAAACTATTATACTCAATGCAGACTTATTTTTATACAATTTAAATCAGAAAAGACTTAGGGTTGAAAAGTGAGTTATATAGAAACCTTTTACAGAAATACATACACATTGGTTTGTGTCGTTGTATGATTCTCTCTTTAATGTGATTAGCTGTCCTTCAAGTATGACAAAAAAAAGGCAACTAGTGATACACAATTTTGCTTAAGGGTGTGGATGAATCATTTCTGCAATATTTTTAATGCTGAAGCTATTTTAATGCCAGAGAATTGGCAGTATACTTTATCTGATATACCAGATTATTCATTCAAATCTTCTACATAAAAAAAAACAAAAAAAACATTTTCAGTTGTCAAAGTAATTGAAATAGTCATCTTAGAAACGAATATTGCTTTTGTTTATTTTGAGACTTGTTCTTTATTACAGTTAAGCAAGTTTCAAACTTACAAAGTGGTATTCTTCAAGGATTATATCCCTTAAAATGAGGATAACAAGTGAATAAATGATTTAGCAGTGAAGCGATTTTAGCTTTTTTATATAAATAATGAGAAACGTCTTTCAGGTATTTTCCTATCACATTAAAAAATCTTATTGTGGGAGCAGAGGGAAGATCTCTATCTTTATGAAAGACTCTGGGTATGAATTTGAAGAAAACAAAATGTCTTTAACATTCTAATTAAGAAACATTCAAAATTGCATTAAAAAATAACTGGATGAATATCAGCATATATTAAAAAAAAAAAAAAAAAAAAAGCAACTGAGAGAGAAAATGCTATTTTAGGCACTAATCTTTGTTTTGATCTGCTTGGTCCACCTACCAAGGACAAGGATGGAAAAGAATATTAAAAAATATTTTTATATGGGTCACTTCTATAAAAATCCATATGAATTAATGGAAGGAATGTTTTTAAAATGCTGAACTTTATAGAGTCAATGTTCAGATGAAAATATAAGCTTAAGAATATAAAAATAAAAAGTGGAATTTTGAGCCAATGGCTACAGTATTTAGCAATCATTTTTTTCTTAGTATATCATCCAGAGGGCCAGTTTCTTACTACAAAAATATTTATGTAATAAAAAGAGTCTGTGTACTGTTTTTCTTGTAAATGCAATCCACTCAAAACTGTCAGAACCACGTGGTGTTATGCTTTTTTTTTTTTTTTTTTCTTTTTAACTATATTGCAAAGTGATGGTTTAAAGAAGTCAAAACAAAGCACTTGGAGAGGAAAAAAAAAAATATATATATATATGCAGTGTTTTTAGATTTAAGAAAAATATTTTCATACACATAACAATTATTTTCTCATTCTTAAACGACTATATAAATTAATTAAGTGAATTAAGAAAACTTGTTCTTCCATTCTTCAAAATGCTACAGCCACTTACTGACTTACAGGTTAAGTAGGAAGAGACTATAGCTAATCTGCCCAGAAAATCTTTTACCTTGCTACAACTAGTAACATCTCTCTTCTTTTTTTCTCTTTCCCTATTACACTCTTGTGATACATTCCACAGTCACACCATTCATTCCTGATTCTCCCACATCTCAAATTTAGCTCCACATTTTTCAATAACCCAATCTTCTCTGTTGTCATTGCATGCTGCTGAGTCAGTTCCAAGTCACAGCAACCCTGTATTAGGTTTCTGTGAGTTCTTGGTAGGTTTGAACTATTGATCTTGGAGTTAGCGGTCCTATGGCACCACACTAAGAATCCAATTCAAAAACTGTTGTTGTTTTTAAATGCTTTGCCTAGTCAATTCCAATTCATAGGATTTCTGAGGAGCAGCTGTTGGGTTTGAACTGAATATCTTAGCAGTTAGCTGCCCAGTATGTATCCTTCATGGCCACACCAATAGTGGGGAAAGGGGAACAGAAAAGAAGAGCAGTATTCCCAAGGGAGAGAGAAGAGACATTTTAACTCCCCATAGTCGCATTCCAGGATTTTTGTTCCTGGAAATCCCAGTGTCACTGAACTACCTAGTGAGGAGAAAGTGATGGTGATGGGGAAGAGTAATAAGAGGGAACAAGGACGGTAACTACAAAATCATTCTGATGACTCCCCAGCATTTGTTCAAGACATGAGGATAAGAGAAGATACAAAGAAAAATTTTAAGTATCAGCATTTTTACTTCTTCAGTAAAGTGCCACTGAGTCAGTTCTGACTTATTATAGTGACCTTGTATACGGTTTCCAAAGAGTGGTTGGTGGGTTTCAACTGCCAACATCATAAATAGCAGTCAAGTGCTTATCATACAGCTCATCTTCTGGCCTCTGCTGATTGTTTCTTTAAAGCTGTCTGCTAGTTTTATTATTCCAGGTTCCAAATTCTGGGAGTATTGTTGTATGCTACTGAGTCAGTTCCTTATCCCCTTTCTCAAAATCAACTCTACTAAATAGCCCAGTCTCAAATAATCTAGAACTAAAAGAATCCACTATCAATTAATCATCAATGTCACTGTTGCAGGAGTCTTGGTGTGGCACTATGGGATAAAACACTGGTCCGCAAGTTTGGTTTGAAACACAAGGTTGGTGGTTCAAACTCACCAGTCTCTTCTTGAAATCCCTATGCAGGATCACTATGAGTCAGTATAGACTCGAAAGCACTTAAAAACAACAAATAACTGTTGCAACAGAATATATGTTCAGACAGTTTCAGTATTAGCAAACTGTACATTTTGTATGGAATGCATGGAATATAACTTGAGAAAATAAGTAATATTTTTAAAATGTGTAGTTTATTAAAACTGTATAAAAAGTCAAAAGTAAAAGATCTAACTTTCTATATTTACAACCAATTTTATTATATCTTAAGGCAGATATATTAGAATACAATAAAAGCATTTGAATACTGAATACAGAAACCAAAGGAAGTAAAGAATCTCAGAAACATATAAGGGACTAATAAGAGTCTTTTAGCCACTTCTGTAAATAACGTTTTAAAGGTGATCTGTTGTGGCATTGCACGGTAAACACTGGACTACTAAACATAAGGTCAGCAGTTCAAACCTACCAGTTGCTCCTCGGAAACCCTGTACCAGGCTACTATGAGTCAGAACTAACTCTATGGCACTGAACAACATCTGGCACTTTTTGGTCCACAGGTAAAATGTTGGTTTTGTCAAAAAAAATTTATACAGTAGCTCTACTTGTTTTCTTCTACCATTCCACTGAACATATATAACACAGACAAGCCTTAGAGCAGTAAGGTTACCTGGACAATTTTCAAGAAAAACAACTTATGAGAACTAACATATGTTAGTCATTCAGATAAAGTTTTAATTCATTAAGTTGTCCTCATACCTCTAATCAATAACTCTAAGGCATTCTGGCAAATAATATGCACATTAAAAAGGCATGCACGACATATCAGACAAGGGACTCATTTCTAGAATATACAGGAAACT